CCCCCCCCCCCCCCTTCCCCCTACCTTCTCCCTCCCGATCCTTAGATCCGCTAACTCTTAGGGGGATGTCTCCTTTATTTAAAAAAGAAAAATTCCACGAGTGCCACTGAAATGCGGTGGGGGAGGGGAACAGCGGCACAGGTGCTGTATGACTCAAAAACGATTTTTGCCCAAACTTTCAGTTCCCGCTGTTGCAGACGCGTAGCAGTTTTCTTGGAATGGTCCAAATTGACCTGGCGCATGCTCGAATTCCACACGAACAGATCGGCGTGCCGATTACCGAGACTTCGTTCGACCTGCAACCGCACCACCGTTCACGTCGCTCACATTCGTCGGTTCGTGGTACTGCTCGTCTTTCGCTGTCATTTCTTGGCCAATCGGAGCAGAATTCGTCATCGCAAGGAGGCAGTGCTGCCGAATCGGAGGAAGCCGAATACGGTTATGCAAGTGCCAGCAGTCAGGAAAGCCAACAAGGCAGTTCATCGCCACTTCCTGAAGGTAAATTTCATACTCACCTGGTTGTAGATATTCACCCGGTTCAGCCAGAATTCGTGTTCGCCTTGATCAATTTTTGCTGCCACCGTGTGATGATCAGTCTGCTGGTGATCCTGGGATTCATCTCGTTTCCTGAAGGAATTAGCAACTCAGCGATTCTCTCAACAAAAGAAGTAAAAAGTTTGGGAGTTTAGCCGTTACGAGGTGTGTACTGCGTGTTAAGCATTTCTACCTCGTTCCAGATGTTGCCACTTCCAAACTACGATAAGGCTTATCAATATAAATATATTTCAGGAAAGCTTTAGGCATCGGCGATTTTTTTTTTCTCTAAATATAATCCCAAATTTTTTAAAATGATAGTGTTTTTCTAATATATCGTTTATGAAATTCTACAGGATGGGAAGAACGTCAGGATGCCAACGGTCGGACATTTTATGTCAACCATACAACGAGAACAACGCAATGGGCCCGACCAACAACGCGGTATTTTTCGTTGTCTTATTATTTTTATTGTTGTTATTACTATTACCATTATCATTACTATTATTATTACTGTTATTATTTTTATCATTATTATTGTCACTATGGCGCCACCATCATCATTATTATCATTACTATTACTATTGTTATTATTATCTCTCTACAAAATGCATATTGGAGATTTTGAAAATACAAAGGGTTGACTGCCTTTCACTTCGTTGATCATCAGCTGGAGGTAATTTTATGTCGGATCCAGAGAAGTAAGTGTACTAATTTCAGTGTCAATCCAGAAGCCGATGAAATGCTACGCGAAGATGCACAGCGTCGAAATTACGAAAGCCGTTGGCAGGGTTCCAGCGAAGAAAATGTTGAGGATGATATTGCTGCCGTAAGTCATACACCATTTTTTTCAAATCTCTATTTTCTTTTTTTTTGTCGTTTCTTCTGAACTAAGGATCTCTACATTTTATGCGAGCAAGTCGAGATAAAGGCAGTATTTAAGAATTTTTGGCATTTTATATGGCTAAAACGAAAATTTTTGGCATCTTATACAGCTTTATGTGGTCTAGCATACGATAGCGATTTAACAATAGCTCGATGACTGGTAGTGGCGCCTCCTGGACCAAAATCCAGCTGTGTTCTTAGATTTTTTAAGGACTGCTTAAATTACTTAAATTTTTTAAGGCCAAAGCTATCTCTTTATTTTGCTTTCACTGATCTGAACACGGTAACTTGGAAGTGACTTACTTTTGCCCAAAAAATGACATCTTTGACAATTCCAACGGTGATTCTTTCTTCCAAGAATTGCTGAAACAAAAGCTGAAGACAGTTTCGAGACTTCCTGGCATGCGCCAATGCCAATTTGACATCGAAACGAATGAACAAATTGTAAAAAAAGATTGATTGGCGAGTCCGAATTCTTCACTTTTCGCATGAAAACAGCGCGACTTGGTAACGAGAAAGAAACTATGCCAGAGATATTTTAGTATGAAAAAATACTTTTCTTTTAAAAACTGAAGTATTGGGATCAAAGATTAGTGATCAGTCCAAATAACGTATGCACAGGTGGAAATATCTACGGCTAATTTCAGTTACATATTGGTTTACGCGAAAATTTTGAAT